ACTGGGATCAAGCACCGTAAGATCGAACCAACTACAAAGCACCTCTTCCCATTGCAAGATAAATAGATCAAGTTGGCCAAACAAAACCCAAATATCAGAGAAAAAACACGAGGCTATAAGCAATCATGCATATAAGAGATCAAAGAAGACTCAAATAACTTTCATGGATAAAAACATAGATCTGATCATAAACTCAAAGTTCATCGGTCCCAACAAACACACCGCCAAAAGACTTACATCATATGGATCTCCAAGAGACCATTGTATTGATAATCAAGACAGAAAGAGAGGGAGCCATCTAGCTACTAACTACGGACCCGTAGGTCTACAAAGAACTACTCACACATCATAGGAGAGGCACCAATGGAAGTGGTGAACCCCTCCATGACGGTGTCTAGATTGGATCTGGTGGTTCTGGGTTCTGCGGCGGCTGGATAAATATTTCGTCGACTCCCCTATGGTTTCTGGAATATTGTGGTATTTATAGAGCAAAGAGACGGTTCGAGGGGCACCCGAGGTGGTCACAACCCCCCAGGGCGTGCCTGGGCCTCGTGGCGCGCCATGGTGGGTGTTGTTCCCCTCAAGCAGCCCCTCAGGTGCTTCCTTGGCCCATTGACTTTCTTCTGGCCCAAAAAAATTCCTCCAGGAGTTGCGTTGCGTTTGGACTCCGTTTGATATTGATTTCCTGCGATGTAAAAAACATGCAGAAAACAGTAACTGGCACTGGACACTATGTCAATAGGTTGATACAAAAAATGAGTATGAAATGATTGTAAAACATCCAAGAATGATAATATAACATCATGGAACAATAAAAAAATTATAGATACGTTGGAGACGTATCACTCATGCTCATGTATTGCGTGAACGTTGAAAAGGTTTGAGAACATCAAAAGTATGAAACAATGGATTGGCTTGTCATCGGCATTGTGCATGATTTAAATATTTTGTGTGATGAAGATAGAGCATAGCCAGACTATATGATTTTTTAGGGATGGCTTGCTTTGGCCATGTTATTTTGAGAAGACATGATTGCTTTATTAGTATGCTTGATGTATTATCGTTCTTATGTCAATATTAAAACTTTGTTTTGAATCTTATGGATCTGAATATTCTTGCCACAATTGAGAAGATTACATTGATAAATATGTTAGGTAGCATTCCACATCAAAAATTCTGTTTTTATCATTTACCTACTCGAGGACGAGCAAGAATTAAGCTTGGGGATGCTTGATACGTCTCCAATGTATCTATAATTTTTTATTGTTCCATGCTATTATATTATCCATCTTGGATGTTTTATATGCATTTATATGCTATTTTATATGATTTTTGGGACTAACCTATTAACCTAGAGCCCAGTGTCAGTTTCTGTTTTTTTCCTTGTTTTTGAGTTTTACACAAAAGGAATACCAAACAGAGTCTAATTGACATGCCAATTTTTGTGGATTTTTTATGGACTAGAAGAAGCCCCCGAAGCAAAAGAGTTGGGCCAAAAGAGTCCCGAGCCATCCACGAGGGTGGAGGGCGCGCCCCTACCTCGTGGATGACTCGGAGACCCCCTTAACTTGTTCCCAACGCCAAAAATTCCTATAAATACAGAAACCCCCCGAAAAGAAACCTAGATCGGGAGTTCCGCCGCCGCAAGCCTCTGTAGCCACCAAAAACCAATCGGGGCCCTGTTCCAGCACCCTGCTAGAGGGGGATCCATCATCGGTGGCTATCTTCATCATCTCGGCGCTCTCCATGACGAGGAGGGAGTAGTTCACCCCTGAGGCTGAGGGTATGTACCAGTAGCTATGTGTTTGATCTCTCTCTCTCTCTCTCTCTCTCTCTCTCTCTCTTTCGTGTTCTTGATTTGGCACGATCTTGATGTACCGCGAGCTTTGCTATTATGGTTGGATCTTATGATGTTTCTCCCCCTCTACCTTCTTGTAATGGATTGAGTTTTCCCTTTGAAGTTATCTTATCGGATTGAGTCTTTAAGGATTTGAGAACACTTGATGTATGTCTTGCGTGGGATACCCGTGGTGAAAATGAAGTATTCTATTGATTCACTTGATGTATGTTTTAGTGATCAACTTGCGGGTTCCGTGACCTTGGGAATCTATGCATAGGGGTTGGCACACATTTTTGTCTTGACTCTCTGGTAGAAACTTTGGGGTCCTCTTTGAAGTTCTTTGCGTTGGTTTGAATAGATGAATCTGAGATTGTGTGATGCATATCATACAATCAAACTCGCGGATACTTAAGGGGACATTGGAGTATCTAGGTGACATTAGGGTTTTGGCTGATGTGTGTCTTAAGGTGTTATTTTACTACGAACTCTAGGGCTGTTTGTGACACTTATATGAATAGCCCAATGGATTGATCAGAAAGAATAACTTTGAGGTGGTTTCTTACCCTACAATAATCTCTTCCTTTGTTCTCCACTATTAGTGACTTTGGAGTGACTCTTTGTTGCATGTTGAGGGATTGTTATATGATCTAATTATGTTATTATTATTGAGACAAATTACACTAGTGAAAGTATGAACCCTAGGCCTTGTTTCCTAGCATTGCAATACCGTTTGCGCTCACTTTTGTTACTTGCTACCTTGTCATTTTTATAATTTCACATTACAAAAACCTATATCTACTATCCATATTGCACTTGTATCACCATCTCTTCGCCGAACTAGTGCACCTATACAATTTACCATTGTATTGAGTGTGTTGGGGACAAAAGAGACTTTTTGTTATTTGGTTGCATGGTTCTTTGAGAGAGACCATCTTCATCCTACACCTCTCATGGATTGATAAACCTTAGGTCATCCACTTGAGGGAAATTTGCTACTGTCCTACAAACCTCTGCACTTGGAGGCCCAACAACGTCTACAAGAAGAAGGTTGTGTAGTAGACATCACACCCACATATCAAATTATGAAAGTAGCGAACACAAATTAAGCCAACATGATGAAAGTGATATGATGAAATTCCCGTGTACCCTCAAGAACGTTTTGCTTATTATAACAGACCGTTTTGGCCTATCCTTTGCCTCAAAAGGATTGGGCTACCTTGTTGCACTTTATTTACAGTTACTTGCTTATTACAAATTACCTTACTATCAAACAATTTGTTACCGACAATTTCAGTTCTTGCAGACATTACGTTGTTGAAAACCACTTGTTATTTCCTTCTGCTCCTCGTTGGGTTCGACACTCTTACTTACCGAAAGGACTAAGATTGATCCCCTATACTTGTTGGTCATGAAGGCTCTTTTCTGGCATCTTTGCCGGGGAGTGAAGCGCTCTTGGTAAGTGGGAATTGGTAAGGAAAATTTGTTACTACGTGCTGAAATTTATTGTCACTTGCTACTATGGAAAATCAACCTTTGAGGGGTTTGTTCAGGGTATCTTCACCTCGACCGGAACCACAATTAGTTGACCTTTTTTTAACCTACTGCACCTACTAAAAATATTGGTTATGAAATTCCATCGGGTATGATAGAACAACTGCTAGCTAATTGAGACTTAGTTATTGAGCGTTAGACAAACCTTCAAGTTTTATCTCCCAATTTATTTGCGAGTTGTGCACAAATAACAAATTCAAACATTTTCTCAAAAATATATTTGTTATCCTATATTCCCACTATATTTTTCATCTAAACCAATAATGAATGAATTTTCCCATAGAACTTTGACTGCCATATGACTCACTCTAATGTCTTTTTTGTAGGGGGGGGAGGGGAGACAAAAATGCGCTGCCATCATCGACTTCCCCAGCCGGAGTCGGGCAAAACCCATTGTAACAGACAATCCAAAAGTCATCTTGCTAAAGTCAGTTATGGTTTTTTTTAGATTTTTAGATTTTTTAAAAGTTTCTAACCCAGTTCTGAACTTTTAAATAAAATCTCTACCTAATAATAAAGCAAATTGGGTTTCTGGTCGTATGCCATAAAAACTACCCTCGAAATTGGCAAGAATTACTCACCAATGCCACCCGTAAGTGGAAAAAACGATTCATTTTTTTTAAGTCACCAACGTCGCGGTTAGCTCATTTACAGAGTTAGCCCTGCACTCCCAGTTCGATCCCCACTTCTCCCACATTTTCTTTGTTTTCTCTTGATTTCTGTGAGCGGAAGATAGAACAACCTCGCCCAAGTGGCATCTTATCTAATGGGCTACACAATTTTCCAATTTCGGCCCAGCCATTTTCTTCTTAAACTTTTTTGGCAGATTCAAGTATTTAAAAATATATTTACTCAAAAAAAGTATTTAAAAATATATTCATATCTTTCAAATCCTAACTTTAAATTTAGAAAGTTATATACGATAATCTCTCAAAAAATGTGTACATTCCAGATATGATATTATCTTGCATGATAACCATTTCTAAAATTATTTTTATGTTCCAACTTTAATTAAATACTTTTCTCTATGTGGGGAATTTGAAAATGCCTATTCGTTATACATGTCCTTATAGATTGATTGTTTTTGATGGAGATACCTAACATGCTCCTATGCACGTGCTATCATTGTGTACTAAAGTGTAATTTGTTATTTTCAGCCTAATGCATTATCTCTTTTTTTGACGGGTAATGCATTATTTCTTAGGTATCACTAAGGAGGAACAACACAAAGACGTGAATTGATACCGGCAAGTAGATAGATATTTTTTGTTTTCTAATCAATTGGACACAACTTTAGTTACTTAAGAAAATCATCCCACCTTTATATTTGTGCACAACATCACTTATCATGTTGTTTCTCGTACGGCATTGTGAAAGATTTCGTATGATTTCTTGGTGTCATCGAGTGTGTGTATGGGGTAATTTATTTTCTCCCGTTGCAACGCACGGGCATGTTTAGTATATAAAAGGGAGATGTGCTCTCTCAACACAAAATCCACATTCATACTCCGTTCAGTTGGGAATATCCAAAGCGGGGCCCACATGTCATCCCAGCGAAACGCCCAGAGGAGAAAAATATCTCTCCTGGATCAAGTTAAGTTGGAGAGCGATGGCGACGACCGCATCGTGTCCTCCTCCTTCCGTTCTCCTCCCCGTTCGCACCACCACCGCCGGAGCGCGGTTGACTTCCGCTCACGGTAGCAGAGCCAGCCACGCGGTCACCGCCAGCGGCGCCGCACCCGCACGACCACCGCTGCCGATGGGCATGGCGAGGGCCCTGCCGCCGCAGCGCGCGCCGCTGCTCCGGCGGCTCCTCATGGCCGGCGCGCTGGCCGCCTCCTGCACCTGCTTCCTCCTCGTCCTCCAGGCGCAGGCCTCCGTGCCGCCGCGCTACGACGGGTTCGCCTACGGGGTCGGGGCCGCCGCCTGGAAGGACGCCGTGCTCGTCGAGGCCTTCCTCGACCCGCTCTGCCCCGACAGCCGCGACGCCTGGCACCCGCTCCGGCTCGCCGTCGAGCGCTACTCCCCGATGGTCTCCCTCATCGTCCACCCCTTCCCTCTCCCGTAAGATCGCGCCGCGCATCCGCCCCTTTGGTTCCTCTCTCCCCCCTCTCCTGCTAGCGGCTGCTGCTCTGATTCTCTGTGCTCCACACTATGGGGACTGTATCTTAGTCTTGGTGTTCAACTCCGGTAGTTTCGATATACTGCTAAATGTAAAAAGATAGCGCATTTGAGCAGTCTCCTGCTGCACGGTTACATGGGATTGTCTCCTGAGATTGCGAATTCAGGGGATTGAAATCTCATCTGAGTATGACTAGCCTGAGTGAGCCAGCAAGTGATTCCATTAGTTATAACTTGGTAGTAACTTTCGGGAATGGAAAATTTGTGGGATTGTCCTCAAGTGATGTGTACTCTGGCTGTTGAGATTGATCCATGGGAGAAGACTAGAGTTACAGTAAGATTACAGAGAGGTATATTGCCACTGATTACATGTGGCAGAACGGATTGTGAATGGTTGTCAGATATTTCTGGAGATGGCGTATAGCCAATAGTCCTGGCATTGACACTCTAGAATTTGAGAATTGGACTGCATCTTCCCTAGTACCTGCCCCTGTTTCATAGGCCCTTTATGGCTTTACGATTTAGATGTGTGCTATTTGGTTCAGATTTTGGTCCTGTTGGTCTCGCGATATTTATACTGAACTTGAACATGTAAAATTTCATTGGCTGGCGTCAGTCACAAAAAATAGTGTGATTGGCCTTGCATTTTCACTTGATAGAATCTGGCACCAATGTGATTCTTATAGCCGAAGGTGCTATACACCTCATTCTAACACCATTTTACTGTGCTGCAAAACTGCAGGTACCACACCTATTCATACCATGCCTGCCGTGCGCTTCATATAGCTAACAAGTTGAATTCGTCATCAACCTATCCGTTGCTGGAGTTGTTCTTCAAGAATCAGGTCCGTTGCATTCTTTAGTTTAACCCTTAGCCTTTGTTATGATACTTCCATCATTGCAACTGCTATGTTGGTTTATCATTTACCCATGCAAGTTCTTTTTCCATAAATGGGTAATGTTTCTCCAGTGGTGTGTCATCAAATACTAAATGATTTCAAAATTTAAAGTTACATAACCAATTTGCAGCATTTCCTTTTGTAGTTTTTTGGTATCCATGTGTGTTATTTTATTTTATGATATGCCATACTCTGTTTCATCAAGGAATCATAGTCAAGTACTCCCTCTGTAAACAAATATAAGAGTAGTGATCTAAACGCTCTTGTATTTCTTTACGGAGGGAGTAATAAATAGGTATATAAGTGCATGCTTTACGTGGGTTTGCACATCTGTGTGCTCCAGGGTTTGCCAATATGTGTGCAGAACGCATATGAGAACCTTCAAAGCTTTTGCTCTGTTTGCTAATATCATGGAGTGTGGCCTTGCACATCCGTGTGCTGCAGGGTTTACCAATATGTGTGCTGAACACATATGAGAACCTCTAAAGTTTTTGCATAGTTTGTCAATATCCTGGAGCGCCTGACCGATGATTTAGCATTGTCACGCTCGATTGGCAGATTCTGTCAGAAACCGATTAGAACCTGGAAACCAGTTTTAGGATCTACGAAGTAGTCTTACAAAATCATGGTTTAAGCTGGAACACCGCAAAATAGCAAAAACACAAGCCAGCCAACACCCACCTTGCCTGTCCTGACAAGCAAGAAGGCAAGCGAAACATAATACCACCTCAGGAGCACTAGAGTTGTGCACGCAGGGTACTTTGCCGCCATCCTTTTCTGTCTCATACAACTCTTGCTAACACGTCTCGAAATTGACACACATGCAGGGAAAATTCTCCAACCGCGCGACATCGTCAATATCGAGCACTGCTGTGACTGGTGAGATATCAAAGATGGCGGCCCCGGTGGTTGGCAATTCAGTCTCCGAGTTCCAGTCGGGCTTCAGCGACATGAGGTCGGACATGGCAGCGAGGGTTTCTTTCAAGGTCAGCTTTACTTGTCGCATCGAGTACACTGTTAGAAATTCTAGCTTCAAGCATCTTATCTTGAATCGTTTGTTGTGGCTACCATTGGATAAAACCTGTCTGATCTACGGATCCATTGCTGCATTCTTATCAGTATGGGTGCACGAGAGGGGTGGCCGGCGCGCCGTTCTTCTTCGTGAACGGTTTCCTTCAGCCCGGAGGCGGGTCGCCCATCGACTTCAGCACGTGGACCAGCATCCTGGAGCCCCTCGTCGCGCATCACGGTCAGACCATCGAGATGTTCACTTCGGTGTAATGTAAGCATTGCAAGCCGCCTTTTATATGTTGGAACCAAAGGATGGCTGCCAGCGGCTGGCTATTGTACAGACAGCAGCCCTGTGTGTGTAAAGCGGTCGACAGTAGTATCCTCTTTGTTCTTCTATGGAACCCCGCGCCCAGATGAGAACATTATATACATACTCTTTTTACTGGTTAGTGATTTCGGAACTCATCTGATCGTTTGGCTTTTATAATCAAGTGTTTCACCACCATCGTTATGACCAGCGATTTTGGACGTAGATTGATGGGAAATCAGTTTCGTTTTCGGTGTTGCTAATGGCCGATCAATCAGCTGTTCCAGTTTTTAGTGCCACCTCAGGCTTATGGTTTGCTTTGGGGTCCTGTTCTCTTCCGTCAGTCTGTCGCGCGCTCATTCGATCGGCGCGGCTGAGTTGTTCCCTGATGGAACCTGAACCGAACCATCAAGAATACTGTCTTCTTGCCGTCGCGTCCGAGGATCTGACCGTGGCTGGTGCCTGGTGACGTTGTGCCTGGCTGCCTGTCCGTCCACGGGCACCGACCGGCGCGTGTCGTGTGGCCGACGGGCGCTACCATATCGTATCAGCGCCGTCGACGGTTTTCACGATAGGACATCTGTAGCTGGCATGGCCGATAGGATCCTCTGCAGTAGCGCACCATGAAGTATAGTCACTGTCATGTGGACCCGGTCCCACATGTCATCCGCACTACAACATCATAGAGTACTGCAGAGGATCTCAACCACGTTTCGCCGGGGTTCATGTGTCGCACTGAAGGAGACCAGTGCTGGTTAGATGGTGGTTCCTGGGTCAAAATCCCGTTCGACGCTTCCTCCCCTCTCATCCTATCCAGCATCATCTTCCCGGTTCGCAAGATCGGATTGTGCCCTTTCTTTCTCTATATAAATGTTAAAAGTCTTGCATCAAATTTTTGGCCATTCCCATTGAACGCCCACATATTTCACGTGAAAACAGATAAATTTCCATACTTGTGTAGAAGGATTTGCCATGTTCTAAAGTGATAATTGTCATGTAGTGTACCTTGAATACAGATCAAAAGCAAAGACATAGGGTATTATCTCTATCAGAGGGCTGAACCTGGGTAACTCCCATCGTCTGAACCTACTTTCGGCCACGTTCACCACCATACCGAGGACATCGTCACCCTTGTGCGGTCGACGCAACAAGGAGCACCGGCCGCCATGTGGTCGTCGATGTGCGCTATCATGCAGGCCTTTTCCCCTGTTGTCACGTCGACAGGCGATGAGCGCCCCCAAGAGACCATGTTATACGTATTGACCTCGTGCGATTAGTTCCTTGACATCAGTCGTTTGGAACGACATACGCAGTGTCGCTGACACCGACGCCGGCAGGCAAGCACAACCGCAGCCTACTCTGCTACAGAATTGATAGCACTCCCCACCATAGCTAGGGTATGGTTCTTAGATCTCAGAGTTTTAGAGATACAGAGGAGTATTACAGCAGGGGAAAGAGGCTTGGAGAAGAAGAAGATCAGAGGATAAGATCTCAGTGGATACAAATGATAATCGATACCCACACCTACACACGCTAATATAGCTGAGTACGATGGGTCGAGCCCTCGACCCATGGACGCAGGCCCAAGTCTATTGGTCGTTGCACTCCCCCCTCCTTAAGGAACAACTTGACCTCAAGTTGTAGGAAGCTCTGTCAGTGCACTGGACCACTCCTAGGTTGCCATGGCTAGCGGTAAACCTGACCAAGCGATCTTGTACTGCTTGCGTGTGCGTCCTCCGACGCGCACCTATCGAGACGCCAGGACTTGCGCGGGCTTGGATGATGCTGCCAATTGATGCACATACTGAAGCTCCTCTAAAGTAGTGGTACCACCACTTGGTGGTGTGGCAGGCTTGAGCAAGGAGACATGAACCACATGGTGTATCTTGCTAGTTGCTGGTAACTGAAGGCGATAAGCAACGTCACCAATGCGCTCCACAACCTGAAATGGACCAAAATATTTGAAACCCAGTTTGTGGTTAGTGCGACGAGCAACCGACTGTTGCATATATGGCTGAAGTTTCAGATATGCCCAATCGCCTGGTTGAAACACCCTCTCAGAATGATGCTTGTCTTCCTGAGCTTTCATGCGCTGTTGAGCACGTTGTAGTTGATCACAGATAAGTGCAGTCATGGCATTCCGCTCTGACAACCAAAATGTAAGATCTGTAGGTGTATCTAACTGTAGATTTTCCACACCCAAATGTCTTGGCTCGTAACCATAGAGAACTTTAATGGTTGTATGTCCAAGAGCAGAATGGAAGTTTGTATTGTACCAGTATTCAGCTTGTGAAATCCACTGGGCCCACTTCTTGGGTGTAGAATGCACCATACACCTCAAAAATGTCTCCATACATTGGTTTAACTTCTCTGTTTGACCATCAGTCTCAGGGTGATTTGCTGTACTCATGTTCATCTGAGTGTCTGTGAGTTTACAAAGCTCCTGCCACACATTGCTAGTGAACAAGGGATCTCTGTCAGTGATGATAACTTTAGGAAGCCCATGCAGCTTATAGACATTGTCCAAGTATGCTTGAGCAACAAAGATTGTAGTAAAGGGATGACATAGTGGTATGAAATGACCATATTTGCTGAACTTGTCAATGACCACCAAGATTGTATCATATTTTTTGCTCTTGGGAAGACCACTGATGGAATCCATACTAACCGTATTTCAAGATTCTTTAGGTATTGGAAGAGGGCTTAACAACCCTAGTTTCTTGATGTGTTCTGTCTTAGCTTGCTGACAGATAGAACATGATTTGACAAACTGTTCCACTGATTGCTTGAGAGCAGGCCAGGAAAATAAAGCTTTCACTCGTTGATATGAGGCTTGAACTCCAGAATGCCCACCAATGCCACTAGAGTGCAAGGAGAGCAGAATCTCTTGCTGAGCATCCTTGTTTGTTCCCAACCAAACTCTCCCTTTGTGCCTGATAATTCCTTGCCGTAACGAGAAACCATTGTTATTACTTCAACTAACACTTAATTCAGTGAGCAAGTCCTTTGCTTAAGGTTCTGTCAATTAACCATCAGCTACTACTTCCAACCACTAGGGTGTGCCGTAATATAAGGGTACTATTATAGGTTGTGTTTCCACTCTTGAGAGAGCATCTGCAGCACCATTTTCCAACCCTTTCTTGTACACCACACTGTACTTGAGGCCCATAAGTTTAGCCGTGCTTTCTATTGAATATGGTTGGAAATTTTCTGGTCTTGAAAGTGTATCAGACTTCTGTGATCAGTGCTGATGGTAAAGTGATCATGTTGTAGATAAGATTTCCACTTCTCCATTGATAGTAAAATAGCCAAACACTCCTTTTCATAAGTGGAAAGTCCATGTGCTAACAATACCCACATGTTTTACTGAGATAAGCAATAGGATGCCCTTGTTGCATCAGAACTGCCCCAATACCCACATTACTAGCATCTGTCTCCACTATGAAGGGCTTATTGAAATCTGGTAATGCTAACACTAGAGCAGTGATCACTGCAGTCTGTAATTGTTGGAAAGCTTCTTGATTAGTAGGAATCCAGACAAACACAATGTTCTTCTTTAGTAGATCAGTCAAACTTCTACTGATGATGCCATAGTTCTTGATGAATTTTCTATAATATCCTGTGAGCCCCAGAAATCCTCTTACTTGTTTAACATTAGTGGGAACAGGCCAGCCTTTGACAGCTTGCACCTTAGCAGGATCAGTGCTCACTCCATCCTTGCTAATCACATGGCCCAAATACTCCAATTTCTGCTGAGAAAAGGAACACTTACTCATCTTCACATATAACTGGTTAGCAGCCAATAAGTAAAAAAACTTCCTTAAGATGCTTCAGATGTTCTTTGAATGTAGCACTGAACACCAATATGTCATCCATAAAACATAACACACTTTCCCTGAGTAAGGGAGCCAAAACAGTGTTCATTCCAGTCTGAAAAGTAGCAGGTCCTTCAGTCACTCCAAAAGGAATAACTTTAAATTCATATAACCAATTATGCACTTTAAAAGCAGTTTTATGCTCCTCCCCTTCCACCAGTCGAATTTGGTGGTATCCTGCTCTCAGATCTAACTTGGTGAACCAAGTAGCTCCTGCTAGCTCATCCAATAGTTCATCCACCACAGGCATGGGATACTTGTGTTTCATAGTGATTGCATTCAAATGATGATAATCAACACAGAAACGCCAAGTGCCATCTTTTTTTCTGACCAAGGGAACAAGAGAAGCAAATGCACTAGAGCTTAGTTGAATAATGCCTTCTTGTAGCATAGTAGCAATCTATTTCTCTATCTCATTCTTTTGGATTGGATTATATCTGTAGGGTTTGACATTGACAGGTACAACACCAGGCAACAGAGGAATTTTGTGATCAGAAGTTCTATGTGGAGGTAGAGAGGTAGGTTCTGAGAACAAATTCTTGTGTTCAGCAAGCAATTTCTGTACTTCTTCAGGCACAATTTCAGTCTCTGGTGAAGTATCAGATATATGATATAGCTGAATGATGTGATCAACAACGTCAGTATGCAGTAATCCTTTTAGTTCTTGTGCTGACAATTGTTTGCAATCAGTTACAGTCTCAAGAATTCCTGTCAGTGTTACTTCTGTATTTCTATAACTGAATTTCATAATCTTCTTGCGCCAATCAACCCACATGGGACTCATGGTCTCCAGCCAATTCATACCCAAAATGATGTCATAATTATCCAGTGGTAATGCTTTCAGAGATGTAGTGAAACTAGTACCCTGACACCACCATTGGAGTCCCAACACTTGTTTAGTGCAAGTTAACAAGCCCCCACCTGCCACTCTGACCGAAGCTGGGGCTAGTTGCTCGACAGGGCACTGTAGTTTCTCCACTAATTTCTCACTGATGAAGTTATTGGAGCTATCAGAGTCAATCAAAATAAGCAGATGAGTCTTCCCTATCATGCCTTGTAACTTGATACTCTCTTTGCAAGAAGTTCCA